GACCCTACATGAATCACCATAATTCCTACCGCGGTTTGGGGTTTAACTGCAGTTGGCAATAGGGAGCCTCAACCCACCCCCATCCCCCCAACAAAACAAAAAAAACAGGTCACTGGCCTTGTGCGCAAGTCGACTCACCGTCCGTCGCCCTGACCTGGGTGAGTTTTTTGGGGGTCTAAGGTCTAGGATTTAGGCACCTCGACCAAAAACCTTACAACCGAAACCTGAGGGTTCAGGGCTTACACCTTTGGGCTTTGTATAGAACATTTTGTAAAAAGCTTAGAGTAAAAGACAGGCTTCTGGTACCTATGATGGGTTCTTTGCAGTACAAGTTGAGAGCCATTGGAGCCCTTGGATCCTGCGCTTGACGAACCACTTCTAGACATCTAACGTCAACGAACCCACATCCAACGCTCACATCCGAATACCTGCCATCCAGAATCTCAAGGCCTCAAAGCCTGCCCTCTACTGTCCAAAAGCGCAACATCCCACAAAGGCCACTAGCAGATTTTGCCGCTGCTTCGAATGCTTTAGGAACCGCACAGGCCATGGTTTAGGGCTCAGTTCGGCCCTTGGAGTTTCAGGCTTATAGGGGCAGACAACATGCAGAACTGCTTCATGACAATGGTTCGCCGAATGAACCTAAACCTAACATTCCTCTTGCAGCAATCACACAGCAGCCACGTCATCCCAAACCCCACCCACCAAGTAAACTGACAATCCACCAAGACGCAATGAAAACCCCACACCTAAACTCCACCCCAAGCACGAAGTCCTCACCCTAAGGATGCATATAGCCCAATGTAAGTAATATCTATAGCCTTGAGGGCCCAATGTGGGCGGTTGTCAAAATTATGGGCCCTTTTTGGATCCCTATTACAATACAGCACCTAATATTTAGGGTACCCAAAAAGGGACCATAATTTTGACAACCACCCATGTAGGTGTTATTTGCATACGTGGAGCCCTGAGTCCTCATGCCAAGCAGCTGAATAGCGACCCCGACCTTACCATCAAGTGGCTCCTGCAGCGAGCTCTTGCGCGGCTCGAAATGACATTAAGGGTAACAAGGATGTTCGCACTTCGGGGTATGTAAAGCGGAGCCCCCTACGCTTGGAACCTACCACGTACAGCCTCACACACCTTTTGGGGTTAAGAGAGTGGTGCTTTATCAGGGTTCGGCGAATTAGGGTATAACCCTACCCCGTAAATCCAAAACCCTAAACCCCCAACCCGAAAGCCTAAAACCTAACCCCTACCCGTAAATCCAACACCCTTGAGCCTCATAAGGATGCAAAAAATGCTCTCAGAAGATGCGATGCGCGCAGCCGAAGGCTTGTGAAGTCAGGGGGTTTAGAGTTTCGGGTCAACAGGAGCTTCCCAAGAAATAATCGTGTGCTTTTTGGGTGATCATTAGAATCGTTTGCAAACCTTTTTTTCCACAAATGCGATCACTTCTGATACGCGTTGTTCATTCTCATCGAGCATCTGGGTCAGGACTTGATATGCACCGACCACGACATCATTCTCCTCCCCCAATGTGGCCACGAACCTCCACCCGTCGAGAGGTTTTCTAAACTGTTGGCATATACAGTTTCAGGTTGGACTGTGTAGTATCCTTGCTTGACATGTAGCGTGCATGAGTCTTCCTCAAGGATGCTTTGGATGGTCTACGCTCAAAAGGAGCACATAACCTTTCTCATCCGTTCTCTGCTGTGACGACTCTAATATCATCACTTGAAAATATTACAGGGTTCCCATGTATCCCAGATTCCATCACCCTTTCCATTTGATTCTACATTCGTTCCAAGATACCATCTTGCTCAACGTTGAGACAGCACCCTTCATCTTCAAAACCTAGACCCCTACGCCCACATGAACAGTGACTAGAATATCCCCACCCACCACTCACATGATGGTTTCTCTTCGTGGGGTCACCCAAATTGACACCCAATATACACTTATATATATATATACTCACCCATATTCCTAAAGCACCACACAAAAAAACCATAAAGAAAGCCACGAAGAAGCCAACACCTGTAATACAACCACTATTACCCAAATCCTGTGCGCTCAATGGGTGGCATGGACGCCCTAAACCCCGAACCCTAAACCCTGAACCCCAAACCCTAAGCCCAAAACCCCAAACCCTAAACCCCAAGTCCTTCATCTGGATGGTTACTGTCTCTGTCTCCTTGACAGGGCCTGCCTGTCCATTTGGAGGTCAGGATTTAGGATCCGGGGTTTAGGGTTCAGGGGTCAGGGTTCAGTTCATAGGTCTAGGGATGAGGGCTAAGGAGTTTTGAAGCTTCGAGCTTGCATCTCCTGGCTTGAACTTTTAGAGTTGAGGCTTAGGGATTTGGGTTGGGTACTGCCCCTACCCTGTAATAGTCCATATTAGGGTCATGTTAAGGGCCATTATTTAACTATATTCATTTGTATATTATCCAACTGGTAGGGAGTGGGGGCAGTGCCCAAGATTTGGGATTTAAGGTCTAGGTTTGAGCAGGGATGGTTCAGGGCCAAGTTCAGGGTTGGCCTGGAAGTGGAATGTGGCTGGGATATCATGATTCCAGTCACTCGCGTAAATCTCCCCGCAACCTTGAGAACTGCTGGGTTGCTGTTAAGGGTCGGAAACTAAGTTTCTATACCAAGGAAACCTTTTGATGTACCATATACCCATAATGTGGTAACGTCATTTAAGCTCCTTAACAACAACCCAGTCTAAACCCTCAAGCCTACGCTCTACACACTCGCAACTCTACATCCCAAACGCCGAACTCCCAGAGTGCTCAAAAGAATTCGATTTCCCACTTGATTTTGCGTTCTCCTACACCCAATGCAACCCTAAGCCGTAATCCCTAAACCTTGCAAACCTAAGCTCAAGCCGCAGTGCTGAGGGGAGGGACAAAGGTCGGATCCCTGTGGCCATCCTCATATGATCCCCTAGAACAAATACCTATGTTCTCCCCAAACCAGAATCATATGAACATTGCCAGTTGTTCCATGCTCTTTCCCACTCTCCCATCCCAGACTTCCAACCCTGAGCCCTAAACCCTGTTCGACTTCCCATCCCTGAAGCCTAAACCCTAAACCCTGAACCCTGAACCACCGGTATGTCTTTTTCTGCTCTTAGGCCAGAGGCATCGCTCAAGCGGCCCTTCGGCTCCAGAAGTCCCTCAAACCACCAAAGGCTTGGGGTTACAGGGTTATACTAGCTGGGGGTTAGTACGGAACATGGGAATAGATTATGTAGTTATTATGTGGGGATTATATTTCCTTATTCCCTACTAACCACCAGTAAGCTTAGAGGCTTGGTCTTGCAGGGGTTAGAGGGTTTGGGTTGAAGTTGTTGGTTTAGGGTGCAGGGCTTAGGTTGTAGGTAGGGTTTTGGGCTTGGGCTTGATGGCAAGGGGCTTACGGCTTAGGGCTCAAGTTACGGAATTGAGGTCTAGAGGTCAGGGGGAACAAGGCCTTGCAACAGCAAGGTTTAAAGACTATTTAGGAAGCCAGGCAGAATCCTGCCAATGACATTTCTCTGGCAGTGGCCCGGGGAGGTCGGTACACGAGTTACTGGACCAGGAAACTTCTTAATGCGAAATTTTTAGACCGGGTAGACAAATTACGAAACGCTAGTGATATCTATGCCAGGAAGTAGAAGAGGCTATACCCTAAACCTTCAATTGCGTTATAGGATATGGACCGGCCATAAGTTAGGCTTTTTGCTACACATCTTTGGTTCAAAGGTTGTGCTATCAACTGGGACATCGGGTTTGTATCTGGCTGACATTCGGGCTGACATTCGCGATTTAGGGTGTAGGGTTCAGGGTATAGGTCCAGGGTATTCCGCCCATGCACTCCCAATAGCGTAATGAGAGGTAGGCTTACTATTGTATTGTCTGCAGCACTATTTGTAAGGGACTACTTGGACCTCAACAGTAGGTAACATAATAACCCAAAATCCTTAAATCCTAAACTTCAAAAACAGCCAAAAGGGCCAATATTTTACATACGTTTGCGGTTCAGGTATAGAATTTTTGCTGGTTCTCCGATTTCCTGCTGACTGGTTGGGTCAGAAAGCCGGGGGGCCGCCGAACGCTCCGCTGCCATAGCAACAGGTGAATCGATCAAGTGGGACTTTCCCAGGGCTAGAGTTTGGGGCATCTATGCTTTCGGTGCAGGCATCACGCGTCGCGTAGTCTTCATGAAGCCTCTCATAATGCTACTGTACTCCGGTTTGTCGCTGCAGTGCTTTAAGCTCTAAGGCCCGAAGTGCGAAGCCTTGAACCTTGGCAGCTACCCCGCACCCTTCTCACACACGCGGTTTAGGGTTCAGGTTTAGGTCTAGGGGTTAGGGTGTCGGGTTTAGAACTTATTTGAAGACCGTTACGTTACTATTACTACAACTGCATTAGTATCCCAACCTCCCGCCCAACCCTGGATCCTAGACATTCCCCCTGAATCCTAAATCATCACTCTAAGCCTCTTTAAGGGGAATGTCAAGCCTTTAAACCCCGAAGCCCTCCGCTAAACATGAAGGGAGCTTCAAAAGGATCCTACGTTGTCCGCTTTCAGCTCCCTTAATGTTTTTCGGAGACTACCCTAAACCCTAAACCCCTACTAAACCCCTAAATCCAATTCGGGCGCCTGGTCTTTATGTTTCAAGAAGCAGCTCCAGACGGTTACCTACTTCAATCAGGGAAAATTCTGAAATACTGGTGAGCTGCACCGGGATGCTTAGCATCATGTAGGAATATGGGTTTAAGGCTTATAGGGTTTGCATCAGGATCACCTACTGAGGGTGTCCTACAAGTATGCTACAAGGAGGCCGCTCAAACTCGCCTGACCTTAAACTGAAACTCAACCAAATTATGTGGAAAACACACAGCCCCAAGACCAACAACCTAGGGTTTAGGGTTTTAAGGCTTAGTTCTCATATCCAAACACCAAATCGTAAAACCTGCATCGAAAACATGAAATGGGCTCAGCAGGGCCACTCAGCCGGTTGCAAGCCTCAGCGTGGCGTACTGCTGATACTAGAAATCCTGCATGACCTTAACATGCTGTAGTACCATAATTCCCCAGGCTTAGGGTACTTTGGATCATGAAGGATTTTTAGTACCGGCCGCATGTTGAGCAATGCGGTTCGTAAGATAACACTCACATGCCTTAACTCCTAGTATCGCTCTTGAAAACTCTACAGTGGTCCCATATATAATCCCGTATATAACCCTTTTAAGGAATTTAGACTAGAGCTCACATGAGGGTTTAATGCATGGATCAGGAACAAGGGCCCAAGCTCTTAGCTTTTTCGAACTCTGTGAAGGTTTTAAAGGTTATTTGAACGAAGCAACGCCAGTAGGCAACGAACAGAATGCCTGTCTGAGAGAGCCCCCGTCAGGCTTAGCCGAAACCGCCAGAGGGGAACCCCCCTTTCCTAATCCATGCAACTCTGGTCGAGGTATCAGGTCGGTATTGGCAAAGTCTAGATCCCGTCTGCTACGGCACGCTGCCGGACACTGCGTGCTCACCTTCTATTGCCCTATTGCCGAACTAAACACCTCCTGCTGTCCAAGAGACACCACTGAATTTCTGATAGATTTGATTAGCTGCCTGCACGGCCCATGAGCACTCGCATGTCTGAAAAGACAATGAACTTGTTTTTTAGAGCGATACGGCCCAGTTTTACCTCACACGTAGCGTGTGACACGAAACGTTCGCATACAGGACCTCCCCGTAGGCTATGTTGTCTACTTCAACTACCTCACCACCGAAAATCCCATCATCACGCCCCTAAACCCTAAACCCTAAGCCCTAAACCCCCCTAAACCCTAAACCAGTAGCCATCCAAGGAGCAGCTTCATGCAAGAGCACATTTCCTCGGCGGTGCCACGAGGCAGCAGCCTTCGTTGAGGATGCAGAAGACTGTTAAAGCACCCCAAATCCGACCATAAAGGCCTGAGGCCGTGACAATCATATCATGCCTCGAAACCTATACGCCCATCTTAAGCACACTCACTCTGGGTCCCTGTGTAGGAGCCGGATGTTTTTTGTTTATCAGGAATTTTGGAAGCTGAGGATTAGGCTCTCCGGCCGGTCTTTACGCTTATGGGATCTTCTACTACACTTTCTCTTGCTCCCCCACACAAAAACACCGAACTAGACCATAATTGTGCAAGAGAAGGAGTGAGGGGAGTGCAGTATAGTAAGGTCACCCCCAAGCCCAAAATCCTAAACCCTGACCCGTAAGGTTACAACTACGTAGGGTCACAATTACGAAAGGCTTTGAGTCTTGATCGAGCCCCAGTGTCCTAGACCTCTCTTGTGAACATGCGATGCGCCTTCTTCAGGAGCTCTTCATTTACAACCCGGAGGCCGACTACCCAAACATCAAATGAGCCATAGTAATAGTCTAAACTCTTAGTATTCCCCTTATAGACTGAAGCTCATATACTCTCATAATTCCTTGCACTGCAGCTTCTCGAACCCAAAGCTCGAGAGCTTACAATTCTTTGGTACATGTACATGGCCCACCTAGATAACGAACCCCCCAAGAAATAGGAAGGCATATCCGTTAACCCTAAACCCTAAAACCAGTGTGCTATTGAAGGGATCCCGACAAGGAACTCCTCAAGTTTGAAAGCCCCAATACAGAGTCATACCAAACAGACCCAACTCGCAACCCCTACACCCTAAGCCTTAAACCCTAAAAGCCTGAACCCTGAACCCTTAATCCATAAATCCCAAATCCTAAAACCAAAGGCTGAACCCTGGACCCTCAATCCATACATCCTAAACCTTGAACCTTAAGCCCCAAAAGCCTGAACCCTGGACCCTAAACTCCCAAATCCTAATGCCTAAGCCTTAACCCCTGAAAGCCTGAACCCTGAACCCTAATCCATAAATCCCAAAGCCGACTACCCTATGCTTCATCTCCAAGGCCTTTGCAAAATCCTAGGGTAGGTTCGGGGACCGCTATAAAAATCAAACTTTTCAGGCATGAGTCCTAGAATGCTCCTCTCAACATCCCAGAGCATAGAACCTCGCAACACCTGGACCAAATGGACTTCTGAAACTTGTGCTTAAAGTAGGATTTGGGCTTAGGAGATTTAGGGTTTAGGTAGATCTAGGGCTCAGGATTTAAGAGGAATTTACGGTTTAGGGCTTGGATTTAATGTTTAGGCTTTAGGCTTTAAGATTTGGGGGGCTGGGGACATCTGAACCTTGAAGCCGAAATTGAAAAGTATGAGCCCATGGCATTAGGCCTTAATCTTGAAGTTTTCATCTAAGGATGAAAACCTGGATTTCAGGGTTTACGATTTAAGGTCTAGGGGCATGCCCTTCTGTGTATAGCCCAGTGGTGCCAAGCAGCCAGCTAGGAAGTTTTTTGCCAGCCTCCTGCAGACATGCAGGCCAGCGCGTATAGAGGCTGCTGGGACACGCTTTGGGTATCGATCTTCGGGTGTCCTTCAGAAACTTGGGCTTTCAGCCAAATAGTTTTGCGTATAGGTGGAACATTGGATAATGTGTGCAACGGATTCAGTGCTTGCAAAACTTGGTACGAAAATTCTCGGAAGCCTCTAACCATCCAAAGGCGTCCTACGTCCTGCTCCGCAAAGCCCCACGTAAGGAGCCTACAAATCTCCTAAACCCTACAAATCCTCTCTCGCTCTAGGCGTTTAAGCTCGAGCTCTGAGCCCCAGACCCACAAACCCCAACCGACCCCCCCTCAATCCTGAGCTAACCCCGAAACCCTAGATCCTAAACCCCAAACCCAATCCAAACCCTTAACCCTGAACCGACGTCTCCTCAGGACCGGATTCTACTTCGACGACCAGCATGGACTCCTGGTTTCCGTTGTTGTTAATCAGTTTAGGACTTAGGGTTAAGGCTTAGGCTTAGGGCTTAGGGTTTACAATGAGGCTTCAGGCTTAGGAGGGTCTGGGTTTTCGGGTTTAGGATCTATAGGGTTTCAGGTTTATAAGTTTTAGGAATTTGGCTTAAGGATTTTCGGGTCTAGAGTCAAGCGGGACACCCGAGGGCAGCTCCTCAGCCGTGGTTTCCCTTCCAAACCTTTGACCTTCCAAACCTTTGACCCCGACAGGCAAGAAGACTATATTTGGGCTGTTGTCCGCCCTATGGCATCAACGTATACCTTGTTGACTCCTTTTCAATTCTCACGATCACATTGGCTGACTGTGGCCCGGTGGGGGTAGTATCCAAAGTAATTCGTGCGACCTCTGCGTGCGCGTCATGCAAGGTCTAATTAGGAGTCAATGTTTACGAAGAAATCTAGGCCTAGCTGGAGTGGCTACGGCCAGTAGTTGAACTGAGCTTGCATAACCTCCTGTTCAACTTCTCGAAGCTCCAACCCTCAACCGTCAAAAAGTTTGTCGAAACCACCACGGCACAACCAACACTGTACAGCAATGCTTGGCAACTCCAAAGCCAAGCAGTATCTTGTTCGACATGAGAGCTGCAAATGAGTTTTCCGGCTACTCCGACACGTACTGCAAAACAACAAACGATGCAATGGACGTCTCAAAATTGAATTGCAAATGCAGCAAATACCCTGGGCACGGCCTGAAAGCCAGGGATTTCTACCAGAACCTTCACCCAACCTCCGGCCAAAACCCTCATCCCCAGCTCTCTAAGAGCGGTTTAGGGTTTAAGGTCCAGAGTTATATAGGGATAGTGGAAAAGAAAATGGAAGCTACTATTTGGGGTTTAGGGTTGATTCTGAACATTCAGGCGCCCAAAGAAACAAACGACAACCAACCCTAAACCCTCATCCCCAAACTCTGAACCCTAACTTGCTGGGGGTTATTAGCGAGTAAGGGAATACATTATACAAAAGCTATATAAGGACTAAACCCTAAAGCCTACATAGCAGCTTCGATGGTCTTTTCCATTATCCGTATATGACTCTGAATATAAGCTTGTAAGCTAAATGAGCCAAACTGGGGAGCCCCACACCCTCAGGCGTCACGAAGAAGTGCGACCTGAGATATGGCCCTCTGGGGTTTGTACCGTTGATACCCGAAATCCTGCATGATGTCTTTTTCTTTCATACCACATGTCTCAAGGCTTAGGTACTTAGGGTCATGCAGGATTTTTAGGACCCACTGTAAGACTAGCGACCAAGGTTCAGGGCTTAGGGTGTTGTGTTTACACGTCGCGTCTATGTTGTCCAGGGTGGAGGGTGTAGGCTTCAAGGGTGGGCCCAAGCTTCTAAAGATGCGAGGCCTGAGGGCCCGGGGTGAATTCGTTGGAGCTTGAAAATTCGGTTGTGTTGTTGCATGTCGATGCGTACCAGTTTGCGTTTTTTGGCTTGCAGTTTTGTTTGCGTCGTGGTCCGGTTGTGCAGATCCAGAAGGGCGAGATACATCACATTCTGCAAGTCAGTCACGACTAATTCTACGGGCAACTCTAGGGCCACAAGGCTTAGGGTTTAGAGCTTGCCCGCTTTCCGTCATGTGTCACAATTCTTCCATCATTTTCAGCGTTTTCACATGTTCCATCCTCTGTCAGCAGTTGCCATATCTTTTTCATGTCCAATAGCTTTCATGACTGCTCATCATTTTCGTATTGCTTGATAATTCTCAATTCTTCCTCATGTCTTGGCATGCTCTTCATAGGTATTCACAGTCTTTCGGTAGTCTCCATCATCTTTCATCACCTTTATCCTTGACGTGTGCAAGGTGGGGGGGGAACGCCATCCACGCTTGCCGTGTCAAAGAAGCGCCGTGTCATCACCATGAGGGATGGCTACACTGATCATTCTGTTTGCAAATTGGGAAGAGGGGCTGCGCTCCCCCCCCATCCCCCCGCGTTTTGTTCAAGGCCGTCCATGCTTGACCACTGTTCGTCATTTTAAACCATTTCATTTCTTCATGTTCCATCATTTTTGCGTGTAAATTCGAGGTCTCGCCTGAGAAATTGAATAAACAAGAGAAAAACTCCTAAATCAATTATGCGCCCTGTAACCACCCACCCACCCCATTGTATCAACATATTTTGTTAGAAATGCTTATTTATGATGAGGGGCGGGGGAGGTTATTGTTCGTTGCTCGGGGGAGGTGCTTATGGCTTCTTTGGTGTCTCAATCGCTTGAGATTTGGCGGGAAGTCTATGGCTTGGCGTTTTTACACCGACGTTGTTGACCTACATCCCTCATCCCTAAAAAGTTAATGCTGAGCAGAAAGAAAGAAGCAAGAAACAAAAACAAGAATCGCAGATAGCAGCGATCGGGAAGCTGAGCGCAGTCAACGAGAACCAGGAAGCTGAAACAGAGAGCGAAGAGGACTCAGGAGATCGCAGGCAACAAGAAACAGGAAGCAAAAAGCTGGCAGCAAAAAGTAAGAAGCAAGAACGATAACAAGGAGAAAGCAGCAAAAACAGCATGCAAGAAACCAGAAACAGCAGGCAGAAAGCTACAAGCAGAACACACAAGCAGAAGGCAAATTGCCGCAAGCGAAAACCAGAAAACAAAAGGCAGAAAGCTAGAACCAACAAGCAAACACGCAGGAAACGCAAAAAACAATAAAAACAAATCCTAAACACAACAACCCTCCCATCATCATGGTGGTTGGACGGGCAAGTTGTTGGCGGGAGGTGGTTGCAGTCTGTGGAACCTCCCGGACAAGGGGTGTGAGCACAGGAGGGCCTCTGTCAGAATACGCACTATGGTGGATACTAAAAATCCTGCAGGACCCTAAATACCCACACCTTGGGAATAATGGTACTATAGTATACTAAGGTCATGCAGGATTTTTAATATCAACAGTACGATTTCAAATTCTATGATTTCAAGAACTCCATTGACTATGCAAACGCCGTAGACAATGGAGGAGCCACACTTGCAAGGCCTTTGGTAATCTTTCTGCAGAAGCCTGTCCCTAACCCATCAACGGAAAGGCTACTCCTAACCCCCTAACCCTGCAATCTCGCGCCTGATGTAGTTGTCGTTGTAGATGAAGGTGATGATTTGCTCCTGATCATACGCGGCATGAAGGAAGCCTTTTACCTTTAAAATTTTCCCAACCCAGCGCGCGCTTCCAAACCCTACTCCCGCCAATTTTCTTGATCATGGGTATATTGCGGAGTCCCCATGGTTGGTTCTCGGAAGCGCATTGCAACTGTGAGACATACCTGCCTGACAAGATTTCAGGGAATGAAGCCCAAAGTTGTGTTTTCTTGACGGTTGCACCAAGAAGGACATTCCCCTTCTGATCTAAATAATATACCCATAAAGGAGCATACAATCTTTCTCCATGTTGGGGGCTGAAATATCCCCAAACGAATACTGCTCAAAGGGTCTACCTCACTTGCAGTCAGCCCGGGCACCAAAACACCCTTGGCAACCTAAGCGCATGTCTGTAACCCTGACCCTAAAAATGGAGTCCTACCATATAATCTCGGTGTCTTGTACCTGGAGCCATGATATTGGAGTCCTTATCTTCTTAGGGTAGCCGTGGCCAGAACCCCTGGAACTGAAGCTCTGACCAAAAGAAACCCGAGCAACTACCCTCCCCCAAAACTAACATGGAACCCCAGAAAGCCCCTCTGAAATAGGGCGGAATTCTCTATTGGATACCTTTTTTGGAAGTATGTTCCTCAAGCATGTCTTTAGTAATCAGTTTTCCCCTAACAACAGCAACCCCCTCAATTTTTCCCATTACATAACAGAATAAGTTTGGGAGTATCTGCTATGAGGGGCTAGGCCCTGAGCCAAAATTCTTGAATACTTGAACCCCACAAGTATGTAGAATAATGGCCTTTTGGGCAATATGTAATCAAATGTTGTGGGCTATTATTTCACCTACTTTTGGGGTTCAGGTATTACATGAGTTGGGTTTAGGGTTTAGGGCTTCAGGGCCTTAATATTAGGATCCCTGTTATCATCCCTATCAAAGGGAAAGGGCTGAATAATCAGGGGCCTACATTACCTAAACCCTAAACCTTAAACTCAAAATCTTAAACCTTACAGTAAACCCTACATTAGGGAAATTCTTCAATAGCCCTCTTGCCTGCAAGCTTTTGAACTCATGCCGCTCTTCGATGGGCCCCGTGTTGTGCGGGTCTTCTTTCACCTCGACACTGTGCGTTGACGCTCTGGAAAAGTAGGCTACACTATGGTAGTTTCTATTTTATTTTCCACTATCCCAATATAACCCCAATAGTACCCTAGTATAATAACAACATGATTTCAAAAAGGGGCCGCTTGAGACTAAGAACCAGGCACAGGATGACATTGGGCTTTTGAACCAGCTTCCAGCCGGGACAGGGAAGGGCAAGCGTATGAACGGTGGTGGTGTACTCATTTCTCCCAGCTTTTCGTATCCACACGGAAAGCGTATTTGGGGAGGCTGTATCAACCTTTTGAGGGTTTGCAGGACTTGGAAATTTTGGCTTTCAATGCGGTAGGGCTCAGGGAGCATAAATCCTTGAGGGTCCACGTACCCACATAAAACGGCTTTTGGGTACCTGAATACCCAATATTTGGGTACTTGGACCCTAGTGAATGTGGATGCTGGATTGGCGCATGTGTGTGTCTGCAATGCTTTATCACTCTACCTGGCATCCAAAAGTCCCAAATCGGGGTTGTCTTCGTAAAGGTGGGAACATCCGCTAAACCTTAAACCGTAGAGGGGTCCAAACCAAAATGGGGCCCTGCGTTATGGCAATTTTGGGGGAGATGTATGTTGAACAACTACCAAATCATCCTACCTACATCCTGCGCAGTTTTCTCAAATACAACCCGTAAGCCCACAAACCTTCAACCCCAAACCTCCAGACTCTAAAGCCTGAAGCCCCAAGCTTGTCACAGCTGACCCAAAACGATGCCCTCCAATAGGCATAGGCGCAGTAGCCAATGCAAGGCCCCAAAAGAAATCGTGAATCCCGACTGCGGGGTTAGGGCTCAGGCATACCCCCACGCCTCCAAGACAAACCCTCGAATTCACTACTAATGTTGATACTACAAACCCTGCATGACCTTCGTATACTATAGTAACAAAATTGCCTAGGTTTAGGGTATTTAGGGTCATGCAGGATTTTTAGTATCCACGGTAGCGGCGGTGTCCTGAGTCCTCAACGTAATCCTCCTACTCTGAAGCCAAGGAGGCCACAACCTGATCAAAACCAACACTTGCTCCACACATGCTATAACTTAGATGGCACCACCCACCCCCACCACCCAGTAATAGCGTCTATAAAGGAGAATGGTTATATATATATATATGTATGTATATATATATATGTATATCTATATATATATATATACATATTAGGTAGGGACCTCTCATATTTCGATGATGCCACTATTGCAAGGTGGGACGCCCACCGAAGCTATACCCCAGACGACAAAAAATCAACAACAACAATGATTTAGATATGCTTATGAGGGATCCTGGCAATCCCTTTCTAACCCTTAGATCGCCATAAGTGACCTCCTCTTTCCGAGACCCAAAGCCCAAACCCTGAACCCTAAACCCACCAAACCCTACCCCACCACTCCAACACTTGAACCGGTTTAGGGCTTAGGGTTTTAGGGTTTTGGGTTTTGGGTATGCTTCTTATTTATGGGGATTTGGTGCCAACTCCGCGAAGCGGCTGCTGTCTGATGGCCGGCTTCCGAAGCACGGAACCTTCCATAGACCGTAAAGCTTTTGAAGCACAAGCCCTTAGCCAAAAGACCTTTAAACTGGTAAGCAATAAACCCTAAAGAGTGGGCTTCGTTGGAGAAACTCTTGCGAGGGTGTGGTGTCCACAGATGCTAAGCGAGGCTATGACTATTTCCAATCACCTTTGAGTTTCAGACCAGAAGTTAGAATGGGACCTGTTCATGGCTGGCGACCTCCAAACCCTTTACTGGGTTGCTGTTAAGGAACTTAAACTCAGTTTCCATTTATGGGTATGTAGTAAAAGAACAGGCTGTACCTATTATAGTAACTTGATTATATGTTCCTTAAAAGCAACCTAGTAAACCCCAAATGCTTTAGGGTTGGGGGTTGAAGCAGTTAGGTCTGACAGCTCATAGCCAATTAGCATCCTGTGCGGAGGCTTCCGGAATCACGCGTCCCGGATTGAACATCCCCTCAACTAATAACAAAACTCCCACCCTTCAGAAAGGTTAAAATACCCACCGGATAGAAATCTATATATGTATGTACATAATGCTACCATGTTGGGGGAGGAGGCTGATTAGAGCGGTGCAGCGGTTGCTTAGCAGGGGACAGTTGATTGGTTCTCAGGACAAGAACGGGGATCCCTGTTTTGAAAGAATGCACTTGTAGCTCCTTTGGTCAGAACGTTAGGCCTATTCCAGGATTTGGGTTTAGGCTGTTGGGTCTATGGATTTAGGATTACGTAGGGTCTCGGCTGGACCCTCCAAGTTTTCATGCTTACCCTAGACCCTGCAAGCTACCTGTTGGCGATGGCTCTGCACCCTGTAAGGGGCCCCTTCTCGGGGCAGATTGCAGTAAATTGGTGTTTGAAGGGCCCCTCCTTTTAATGGACAACCCCATATCCCAAAGGTTCCGCAGAAGTTCTGCCGATCAAGCACCAAACTGTACCTCAACTTACCCACAATTTGACGGGGGATTGTACTCTTGATACTAAAAGTCCAGCATGGCCCTAAGTAGGTTACACCTAGAAAATTCTGGTTTTCTAGTATACTATGATCATGCAGAATTTCTGATGTCATCCACACCTAGTGAGCAATCAGTTATACTTTTGCCGGTGTTCCAAAAACGCACCGAACTGCAAATACTCTGAGCCACAGACAAACCATGAACTCTAAACCTTGAGAGCCCCGAGCCCTACCTGAACCCCAAAAGTATGCAGAATAATGGCCTTGTGCTATATCTAAGTATTTTGGGCTATCATTTTACCTACCTTTGGGGTCCAGGTATCGACCCTAGACCCCGAGCCCGAAACCTTGCGTCCTGAAGCCAAGCGGAAAAGCCCGAAGCCTAAGATATAGCTTTACCCCACGGATCCCGATAGCCCAAAGCAAGTATTATTTGTAGACTTTTTGGGCCCCCAGTAAGCATTATAACTAAGGGTCCAAGTGTTGTACCTACCAGAAAACAGTTGGATCACAGCCTTAAGGACCTACGTAAAGCCCCGCAATTTGGGTGCTTACACCCTAAACTCAGGCACAGAAAAAGTGCATA